CTATTTGCCTCAATCTGGCTTTGAACTTCGATCCTCCTGATCTCTGCCTCCTGAGTAGCTAGGATTACAGGTGTGAGCCACCCGGCGCCCAGCATGATCTCTTAGGCCTCCCCAAAGAATCTCCCAAACAGAAGCCTCATCGCCCCCTTGGCGGGTCATTTGGTAATTTGATGAGCCTCAGGACAGTCTGCTCTGCACTGGGCCTAAGTTCTCAGAAGTGTGTCCCTGGAAGCAAGGGGGGTGGGGAGGAGAAGAAAGGGGTGGAAGGTAGGGCAGAAAAATGACTCAACGTATGTACATATGAATATATGATTAAAGAGAAAAAAAAAAAGTGTGTCTCATGAGACCCTGCCCCACATGACACAGAAACCTCAGTGGATCATTGCATCATGCATATTAATGTCTAAGTTGTTCTGTGAGGTCAGGCTTGGGGGACTCCCTGGAGGAGGGGACAACTGAGCTAAGTCCTGAAGGGTACAAGGGTGGCCTGGAGGTTCCAGAGCTGTGAGGAACTCACAAGCCACAGTTCTCAGGGCCAGGTGGTGAAGTCAGCCAGGCCAGGTCAGGCTGGTCCCTGAGTACCAGCACAAGAACAATGTGAGCAAGCCTGGCACTGGTGGACTATGTGGAGCTCGCTGTGGAATGTGAGCAGCCATGGGGCTGGGAAGGAAGTGGGGAAGCTGGCTGAGTTCAGCTGTTAGCGATTTCACGCCCCCTTCCCAGTTGCTTCTTGAGGACAGGCCCCAGCCGAGGGGCCCAGGTGCCCAGGAAGGTCAGGTTTCGGAAGCAAGAGAATAAAAAGGAGATTTCCTCTGGAGGGGAGAGCTGCAGCTGCCTCCCGCATGTACTCCTGGATTAGCCAAATCCCACAGCAGGTGAAAGGGTCCCGGGAGTGTGGGAAGTGGGGTGGCGGGGCCAAGTGTGCACACCTGACTGCCTGAACCTGGGAGGAGGTCGCCTTCATCCTTCCTGCAACAACACATCCCTATAGCTCAGTTCTACCCGGTGCTGGCCTGGGTTGTGGTTTGGACGGTAGGAGCAAGAATGTTAACAGCTAGCCGGGTGCCTGTGGCTCATGCCTGTAGTCCTAGCTACTCAGGAGGCAGAGATCAGGAGGATTGCAGTTTGAAGCCAACCCCAGGCAAGTAGTTTGAGAGACCCTATCTGGACAGTACCCACCACAAAAAAAAAATGCTGGTGGAGTGACTCAAGCCGTAAGTGCACCTGCCTAGCAAGGGTAAGGCTCTAAATTCAAACACTAGTACTGCCCTGTGCCCCCCCTCCCCCCCCAAAAAAAAAAAGACTGTCATAGCTAAACTGAACTGAGAACTAGGCAAGCATATGAGGGTGGCATTGCAGGGAGACTCAGAAAATGGGGCAGTGTCTCCTGAACTGGAGAGGGAGAGAGTAGGAACAAGTGGGAGGTGCTTCCCCCTTGTTCCCCTATGCTGGGGATAGAACCCAGGGCTTAAATGTGGTAGGCAAGCTCTCTACCACTGAGCAGCACCCCTGGTCCTTCATAGAAAATATTTTTGTACCACTGGAATTCTTTTTTATCTTTTTTTGTGAGGGGTGCTGCTGAGGTTTGAACTCAGGGCCTACACCTTGAGCCACTCCACCAGCCCTTTTTTGTGATGTGTTACAGGGGTGGCTCACACCTGTAATTCTAGCTACTCAGGAGGCAGAGATCAGGAGGATTGAGGTTGAAGCCAGCCCAGAAAATAGATCATGAGACCCTGGCTCAAAAAATTGCTCTGCAAAAAAGGGCTGGTGGAGTGGCTAAAGGTGTAAGCCCTGAGTTCAAACCCCAGTACCTCAAAATAAACAAACAAAAAACCACTATTAAGGGGTTTGGAGAGCAGTTCTGTGGCAGAGTCTTTGCCTAGGCTGTGCAGGGCTCTGAGTGCAAACTCAGCCAAAAAACAGACCCCAAACCCACTGTCTTAGCAGGCAGTGCTTGCTTCCTGGGGGGCCCAGTTTAGGGGCTCCCTTCTTTACATGAGAACTCCTGAGAGGAGGCTCAGCTTGGAAGTTGAGCTGGGATGGAGTGAGGCCCTAGGGAGGCTGGCCTAGGTTGAGGTTCAAGGGCTTGGCCAGGTGAGATGTGGGAGGAAAAGTGTCTCCGGGAAGGAAAAGCCCCCCTGAAGGTAGTGATGTGGCAGGGACTGAAGGTCACAGAGCTAGAGCCCAAGCTCTGCTGACTGACACATATGTGCTTGGACGTCAGTGTCAGTGATGCCCATCCACCTCCTTGCCCTGGGAGCCTCCTGATCCTCCCAAGAGCCCTCGCCTAGGGTGTCCACCAAGCTCTGCAGCGGGACAGAGTACCTGGCCCTGAACGCCAATGCTTCTCCTTTCCCCCTTATGACCTTGAGCCAGTCACTTCCTCCTTCCAGCCTCAGTGTCCTCTTCTGGGAAATGGGGAAGAACGCCTTCCTGGAAAGGCTGCCATGGGAAGGGAATGAGATGATGGTTTGGCACAGCCGCCCGCCCCGCCTGGAGGCCATTCTGTCCTAATCTCCGTGCAGTGACAGCTGTTGTTTGCTCAGAACTTCCGAGGCTGTGAGGTGGTGTCGTCATTCATTCCTGTGTTACAAAGGGTAGGAAAATGAAGGCTTGAGAGGGTGACTCTGGTCACAGTACCTCCCCCATCCTGAGCACTACCTAACCCTTCCCCCTACATGCCTGTCCGTAAGCCAGTAGCTGCCTGTCCTGTGCTAAGGCTTTCCAGATCATCATGGCTGTCTGTCGCTCTTACCAGTCCCTGACTTATACAAGCAGCCCACATGTGGCTTTCTGGAGATGGGCCCAGCGCTTTTCTCTGACTTGGAAGTCGCTCAGCCCCAGGCAGACCAAGGGGGCCAGGCCCCAGCTGCCACACACTGCCCAGAGCAGAGGGGGCAGGCAGGCAAGATGGAGCAGCAGAGCTCACACTGGGGGTTAGCAGCATCTGTCTCCTGACATGGGACATCAGGAATGTGGAACAGCCCCAGTGACCGGGTGCCTGCCAGGGATGCTGGCAGGGAGGGGGCACGGGGTGGGCAGCTGGGCCCCTCCTTGCCCCCAGGAACTACCAGCCAGCAGCTGTTCCTGTCACTCTGAGCAACCTGATTCTGATCTCTGATAATGCACAGAGCCTGCTGGGACCCAGGGGCGTCAACCCTGCTCCTTTATGGAACATGGAACCCATTTTTTTTTCATTGTTGATGATTGGGCCCAGGGTTGTCTTCTGTTTTGTTTTGCTTTTTTTTTGGCAGTACTGTGAATTGAACTCAGGGCCTCATGCTTCTAAACAAGCACTGTACAACTTGAGCCACTCTGCCAGCCCTTGTTTCATTTTTTTTGAGTCAGGGTTTTAGTAGATAGCCCAGGCTGACTTAGAATTCATAATCACCCTGCCTCAGCAGTGCAGTTTGGGAGATGGTGAGCTAGAGGTATGGGGGAGACCCAGACCAGCCCTTCCCGAGCTGCCCATTTTCTTTCTTCTTTTTTATTTTATTTTTTTTTTGTGGTACTGGGGCTCGAACTCAGGGCCTACACCTTAAGCCACTCCACCAACCCTTTTATTGTGATTTTTTTTTTTTTCCCAGATAGGCTCTCACGAACTATTTGCCAGCACTGTGCTTCGAACGGTGATCCTCCTGATCTCTGCCTCCTGAATAACTAGGATTATAGACAGGTATGAGCCACCGGCACCTGGCGGTAATACTGAGGTTTGAACTTAAACTCAGGGCCTCATGTTTGCCAGGCAAGCACTCTGCCACTTGAGGTACTTCGCCAGTGTACCATATTTTTTAAGATAGGGTCTTGCAGACTATTTACCCAGGGCTGGCTTCTAATGGTGATCCTCCTGATCTCTGCCTCCTGTGTAGCTAGGATTACAGATGTGAGTCACTGGTGTCTGGCTCCAGCCTCAATTCTCTTTTTTTTTTGTGGTAATGGGACTTGAACTCAGGTTCTTCACCTTGAGCCACCCCGCCAGGCCTTTTTTATTATGGGCATTTTTGTGATAGGGTCTCGCGAACTATTACCCCAGGCTGGCTTCAAACTGCGATCCCCCTGATCTCTGCCTCCTGAGTAGCTAGGATTACAGGTGTGAGCCCTGGCACCCGGCCCAATTCTATATTCAGTTCCTTGGGTCCTAAATGTATTTCCAGCCACCGCTGCCTGGGAGCCCATGGGAATAATGTCGACCAACTCCATAAAGGGTGTTCTGGTTGGGCAGTGCTGTCTCAGGCTTGGGGCAGGAGGTCACCAAGCATTGGATCAGGTACCACCTCTGGCCTCCCCTTGACCCACCCTGAGGGGGTAGGGAGCAGCAGAAACCACTAGGATGGAACCAAGGAAGGGGTCTGAAAACAGGGCCTGACAGCCTCCTCAGTGGAGGATCTTGCAGGCAGGGACAGCTGCAGCTCAACCAGGCAGCAACCAGCTGCTGCCTTGGGAGACTGGCCAGTAAGGCGGGGTGGGCATGGCCCCCACAAACCCTGAGCCTGAGCTGGCAGAGCGTGGGAGCAAGCAGCCGCTGGAGGCTTGGTTTCAGGTTTTCATGCTGTGTTAACGGTCAGCTTGGTTAATGCTGAGCAGATGGGGGAGGGGAGCTGCCAGCTCCCTTGGGGACAGCAGTGGAGCATGCATGCATGCGCCCACATGTGCAGAGGGTCCAAGGGGCCCGCCCTATGGATGGTGCAATGTGGCTCCTCTGCCCATAAACACTTGCTCACACATTACATACACAAGATGGTGCTGGCAGGACAGATGGACAAAGGCAGGGATACACATGGCCTCCAGGGTCCACTTTGGAGCAGCTAGTGGTGGATGGAAAGCCAAGGCCTGGCCCAGAGCCCTCAGTCTGTGTCATCCAGGCAGAATTCAAAGCTTGGGGGACCCCTCCACCTTATTCCCCATCTATGCCCCTCAGGGAAGACACCAGGCAACATGGGTTTTATTTCAAAAAAATAATTTATAAAAAGTAAAATGTTTTCAGCAGATTTCCAGTCTCTCAAGGCCACCAGAGCCAATGCTTTTTCCACCAAGATGCTGGGACAAGCAGCTGGGGTGGGAGGACTTGGGGTTCAGAGGCCTCTAACCTCTCATCAGGGAGGTTTAGGACAGCAGCTCTGCAGCCAGGACTAGCCAAACTCCAGGAGTACCAAGGCCCAGGGGGCTGAGCAGAAACCTAGCCCTTAGGCCATTAGGACACTGGTGGTACATAACTCCATGAGCAAGGGCTAACCTCTGAGCTGAGAACTCAAGGCCAGAGCAGAAGGTTTTAACTAGGAGACCCAGGACCAAAGATGGATCCCCCCCAAAACAGAACCAGAGATATGGAACAGCACCCTCAGGTCAGGGGCCCAGAGCTGCCAAAGTCAAATGCTGTGCCAGGAGGCCCAACGCCACCAGCCCTCCCTGCACACACAACTGTGTGCCCCTGCTCATGTTTGTACCCCAGGGAAGGGGAAAGGGCTCGGTGCTAGTGGTAGGGGGTCATGGCTGAAGACAGAATCGCTGGAGGAGCAGGTGCTACTGGCGTCCCCGCCTGAGGGGGAGTAGGGTCCAAAGGTCAGACGGAGGTCAAGGTACTGTAGAAAAAAGAGCTGGTCAGTCCTCCAGCCCCCCAACACTCCACACCCAGGACAGGATGGTGGGTGTCCCTCTCCTCAGGGTGGCCATCAGGTCCCAGAGGGGAGTGGGCAGAAAGAGGTCATGTGGCAGGAGAGGGCAGTACCTCCTCAGAGACAGCCAGTAGGACCTTGTCCAGTGCTTCCACCAGCTGCTTGAAAGTGGGCCTCTGAGAGGGTGCCGCATGCCAGCACTCACGCATCAGCCCATACCTGGGGGAGGCGGGGCAGAGAGGGTCAGAGGGGTCCCTGGCATGGGCCTGGACAGGGGTTTGATGAGGGGTAGGCAGAGTGGAAGGGTACAGAAGCCAGGCCAGCATTCCCCAATGGGCTGGGCAAAGGAGGAGGAAGTGGTTAGTGTTGCTCTAATGATCAGGGTCAAACCCTGAGGTCGGGGCAGAGGATAAGGAAGGTAGGGGAAGGCCTCACAGCTCCGGGGGGCAGTTTGGGGGCCGGTCCATGCGGTGACCCTCCCGCAGCAGCGAAAACAGCTCCTCCACGGGAATGCCAGGGTATGGGGAGCCACCGAGGGTGAAGATCTCCCACAGCAGGATTCCAAATGACCACCTGGAGGCAGGAATAGGCTGGGATGGGGGCCACTGTTGTAATCCACCACCAGAGGTGGGGACTGGACTTCTTTTGGAGCCTGGTCCCACACAAGTCCCAGGCCTGATCAGGGCTGAGCACAGTAGCTCACGACTGTAATCTCAGCTACACAGGAGGCAGAGATCAAGAGGTTTGTGGTTTGAGGACAGTCCAGGCAAAAAGTTAGTGAGACCTCTATCTCCATCAATAAACCAGCAGGCCTGAGTATGGCCTTAACCAAAAACACAAGACCCTATCTGAAAAATAACTAAAGTGAAAAGGGACTGAGGGCATGGCTCAAGTGGTAGAGTGCCTGCCTAGCAAGTTTAAGGCTGAGTTCAAACCCCAGGTCTGCTACCAAAAAAAAAAAGAAAAGAAAAGAGCTCTGAGTGCATAACTCCAGGTCCTATGACTTTGGCAAGTGCCAAAGTTCCTATGAGCTAGGACAACGATCGCTGGCAGTCATCCCAGGTCCCAGCTTCCAGGACTCACACATCACTCTGGTGTGTGTACACACGGTCAAACAAGGCCTCAGGCGCCATCCACTTGACTGGCAGGCGGCCCTGGAGGGGAGAGTTAGGGGCATTAGAACTGAGTTCCACAGGTCCCTGTGCTGGCTACCATCACCCCCTTAATCCAGCTCTGTCCTGCTCCTCACATTGCTGGTTTTTTTGTAGTAGTCAATATGGTGGACGCCACGGGCCAGCCCAAAGTCAGCAATCTTCATCACATTGTCCTCTGTCACCAGCACATTTCGGGCAGCCAGGTCTCGGTGGATGCACTGGGGCATGGCAGGGGACAGAAAGGTGACCAAGGTTTATTAGGACACAGGGCAGGGAGCCACACACAGCATCTCACAGTAAGCCTGAGGGCAAGGCTTATCCATCCATTTTATAGATAAGTTGAGATTCAGAAAAGGGAAGTGTAATATGCAAAATTTTGGGTTAAATCACTAGCATCCCTCCCCCCCCCCAAAAAAAAAGCAAGTAAAAGTAAAGACATTTAAATTCAGCACCTATGTCCTCTTCCTTGTACCATGTCTCTCTTGTTTATGGGTGAAGAAGAGGACACACTGTGTTGCTGAATAAGGATGGGGAAGGATGTAAAGGCTGGGGACATCCAGACAAGGTGATGAAAAAGGAGACAGAGAGAAGTTAGAGTGACCCAGAGCACTGTCTGTTGCCCATACCTTCCTAGATTCCAGATACTGCATACCACGGGCCACCTGGTAGGCACAGGACACCAGGGCAGGGAAGGAGAGCGGTCCCTCACTGCTCCGGGGCCCATCGGGGCTGAGGTCAGGGCCTGGAGGGCGCCGGGCCCGGAGGAACTCGCGCAGGTTCCCCTTGGCCGCACACTCCACAATCACATACAGGGGCCCTACACGGGGGAAAGGAGGTGGGGAGACAGGAAGGCTGCCAACGCTGCAGCTCTGCAGCTCTGCCTCCATGCCCATCTGGTCCCTGCCCCACCTTCCTGGGTGCAGACACCCAGCAGGTTGATGATGTTCTTGTGTCGGCCAATCAGCTTCATCACCTCCATCTCGGAGACGAGGTCTGCCAAGTCCTTGTCAGAGGCGTTATCTGTGAGGGCGGCAGAGGGGGTGAGGAAGCTCCCTCCGACTACATGGGGAGGCTGTGGGGTTGGGGACAAGTCAAGAAGCACCAGACCAAGACCAAGGTTCAGGTGAGCTATGTGGTCTTGAAAAAAGTCGCTTAACCTCTGAACTACAGGGTTGTCTTATATGAAACAGAACAGTAACCAAACTCTGCCTCTCACAGAAGTTGCAAGAATACAACAAGGTCAAGGATCTGAAAGTGGTAGGTCCAGGAAATAGAGGTAAGAGCTTTGAACAGAAGGAAGCTATGTCTGGAGCGATTGGCACCAGTCTCTGAGCAGGGTGATAGTTCCTGGGGGTGGGAAGCAGGCTGGCACCCTGAGGTCTGTCTGACCAGGAGCTGGCATCCATCTGGTCTGAGAATTCAGGGAGCTGCTGGCAGGGCACAGCTAGAGGGCGCTAGAACGAAGGCTGCTCTGGGTCCTCTTGAGAAGGCTGGGAGTATGGGCTGGGCCCCCAGGCCTGAGCAGTGGCCTTGGGACAATGGCATAACTTGCCTCTCATCTACACACCAATTATTGTAGGCATATATATTTCTCAATCTCTGCCTCCAGAAAGTGCCAGGTGGCCCCAGCTGTGTGGAGAGGAGGAAGCAAGAGAGCAGAATAGTGGTTTGTGACTTTCTTGCAGAGGGGTTAGGGGACAGCACCAAGAGGCCCAATCTCGATGGACAGATTCCAAGTATGTCCTGCATAGGATCTTGGGTATGCTGCTTGGAGTAAGGGACTTTTCTTTTTTTCTTTGTGGTACTGGGGTTTGAACCTAAGGCCTCACACTTGCTAGGCAGGCTCTCTGCTACTTGAGACACTCTGCTAGTACTTTTTTGTGTTGGGTATTTTCGAGATAGTCTCATGAACAACTTGCCTGGACTGGCTTTGATCTCCTGATCTCTGCCTCTTGAGTAGCTAGGATTATAAGTGTGAGCTATCTGCACCCAGAAGGAGTCTGGGACTTTTAGCAGAGTGCTGTTCCCCTGTGACTAAGGAGACAGACCTAGGAATGGTCTTGTGGGGGGAGGGGGGTGGGTTGAGGGAATGAGGCAGGAGCCCTGTGAGGCTGGCAGGAGACATGAGGCCAGAACTAAAGGGGCTATCAAGGGCACTGAGTTCCAAACCCTCATAGGCTTCACCGCTCAATGGTTAAGATTTACTGAGTCCTGACTCTGTGCCAGACACTTTCTGTGAACCTCAGGCTGAGATGCAGGGAAACTGAGGCTCAAAATAATTTGCCAGAATCAGCAAAAGAGTTGGACCACAGGCTCAAAGTAGGATCCTGCATCTTCTCCCAGCTCTCCAGGCTTCACAGGCCCCCCTGTGAGCCCCTTCTGTTGGACCCCATGCCATAGTGCCTCCCCCAGGTTGCCACATGCACCTTTCAGCATCTTGACAGCCACAGTGCTGGTTTGGTCAGGCTGGGAGGGGTCCATACCCAAGGCCTCTGCACGAACCACCTGCCCGAAGCAGCCCTCACCCAAGGGCTTCCCGAGCACCAGCCTGGAGACCAAGAAAGCCTATGCCTTAGACCTCTGGGTGCCACTTCAGGTCCTGCATCCCCTCCTCACCCCGCTCACTTTTGGTGTACCTGTCCCGGGGAAACTCCCACAGTGGATCAAGAGGCAGGTCTAGACTCACGAGGCCGGCGAGCAAGGGGGGGCCATTGGAGGACAGCCGGACACCTCGCACCAGGGACGAACTTGACTTGCCTGAGGAGCCTGACTCCAGAGAGAACTGCAAAGTGGGAGACTTGACTCTGCCTACTGACCCAGGCTGAGTCTTATGGGGGACAGGGTGAGGGATGGGCACAGTACCTGCCGGGTTAAAGGGAAGCGAGACAGCTTTTGCACAGTGGCAGGCTGCTGGTGGTGGCTGTGGAGTGCCTGTCCTCGATACAGCCCGGCCAACAGCAGGAGCACAGCCAAAGCCAGTGAGCCGGAAGCATACAGGATGACATCTGTGTACCTGGCCTCTGGTGCTGCCCCTGTCCATGTGAGGTCCTCCTCTGTCCTCGCAGAGGAACAACAGAGAAACTGACCAGTCAGTGGTCACTCAGCCCAGCCTTTCCCCCCAACTCAGGTCCCCATGGCCGTTATCTGCAGTCCCATACCCCTGCCTGGATAGTAACATGCAGAACCAAACACACAAATACAGTGGTAGAGGTTTCCTCTAGCATACACGAGGCCCTGGTTTGATCTTCAGCACAGCAGGCAAATGAATGAACCCAAGGCCAGACCCCAAGCCAAAGCGAGATCTGACAGGCCATATGGACCACAGTGGGCCCCTGTACCCTCTCCTGACTCCCTCAGGTGCTTACCTGGCAGCACCGTGAGCCAGGCCGACTGGTAAGAGAGGCCAATAGAGTTGCCTGCCAGGCAGGTGTACTCGCCTGCATCCTCAGCTGACACGTTCCGCAGGTACAGGACTTCTACCTCTGAGCTATTGATGTCTGCTGTCTGGGGACAGGGGCCACAATAGGGTCTGGGGTCACCCTGTGACTGGGAGGGCAGCTGGGGACCTCCCCTACCCCGGCAGGGGAAAGGCAGGACTGGCACCTTCAGGACTTGCACGTAGGGGAAGCCGTCAGCACCAAAGCTGCTGCCATTGATGATGACATGTTTCAGCCACTGAATGTGGGGCTGGGCATCACTGTATACCTTGCAAAGCAGCTCCACGTCACTGCCTGCCACAGCTGTGGTGTTGGCTGGGAGCCCCGCCTGCAGGATGGGCCGGTGCGGGGACCGCTCTGGGGGCCAGGCCAGGCCGTCAACCCTGACCAGTGGCACCCACAAAAGCACCCTGTGTACCTACCTCTCCCTCTAGTTTAACGCAGGGACCTTTCTGTCTTATGCATCTCCTGTTTACCCTGCTTAAAACTTCCCTGGCTCCCATAGCCTTTGGATCCAAGGCAACTTCTCAGCCTACCGTTCAAAAACCTCTAGAGCCTGGTTTCTCACATAAATGCAACATCCCAGGCAGATATCTGCCTGCAAATGTACTGCATTCTGCCAGGCGCCAGTGGCTTACCCCTGTAATCCTATCTACTCAGGAAGCAGAGATCAGGAGGATCACAGTTCGAAGCCAGCCCCGGCAAATAGTTCACAAGACCCTATCTCTAAAAACCTATCACAAAAAATGGCTGGTGGAGTAGCTCAAGACGGCTGAGTTCAAACTCCAGCACCACAAAAAGAAATAAACAAACAAACAGAAAAACCTTCCCACATACGACCTTAACTTAGCCAGTACCTTCTGCCTGGATGCCTTTCTTACTTTTCCTCTAGCAAGACCCCTGCTCCTCCAGGCCATGTAACCACTGTGCTTCCCTCTGACCCACCTGGCCACTTGGAGCTGTCTGAACCATCTAAGACTAAGTCCATCTTGCCGGCCACACCGCCCCCCCCACCCCAAGACAGGTTATTCACCCCACCCCGCCCGGCCTCCCCTGTTCAGGCGCTCACCCAGCACATCCAGCAGATAGTTATAGCGGATGCTGCCCAGAGAGTTCTCCACGAGGCAGGTGTACGTGCCACGGTCAGAGGGCACCACGCTTTCCATCACCAGGCTCCAGTGCTGGTGACGCAGCTGGAGACAGAGGAAGCAACCGTATTAGACCACCCAGGGCATGAGAAAGCTAGATCCTACCCACAGGGCTCTCCTCAAGCTCAAGGCCAGGGACCTTGACAAAGAAAAAGGCTCCAAGTGTCTACTCCTGGGTTTGAGGTTTAGCTCTCTCTATCTGTACCATCTTGCACAGTATTTTATCCTCTCTGATCTCAACTCAGCATGAAACTGTCCCTGTAGGTTCTTACCCAGAAAATGAGATGCTAAAGTTTATTGATACCTACTGGTCACTGATTCTTCCCACTTTACAAAAGGAGTTACTACTTGGAGGCTGAAGCAGAAGGACCACAAGTTCAAAGCCAACTTGGGTCACATAGAAAGACCTGCTCCCCTCTACCCCTCAAAAAAAGAAAGAAAAACAACAACAACAAAAAAACCAAGCCAAACATGGTGGTGCAGGCCTGTAATTCTAGTTACCCAGCAGGTGGAGGTAGAAGGATTATGGCCTGAGGCCAGTTTGAAAAAAGCACCAGACCCTATCTGAAAACCAAAATAAAACAGCAGAAAGGACTGGGGACTTAAGTGGAGCAAGCTCAAGGCCTTTTGTTTAATCCCTAGCACCACAAACAAACAAACAAACAAACAAAAAAAAAAACAAAAAACAAATAAAAAAACAAATATAAAAGGATTTATCACTTACTGGAGAGTGGCAGATTGGGAATTTGAATAAGAACTGCCAAGTCCAGATTTATCTATGTTCATGAGGGGACCCGTGGGGGACAAGAATAAAGAGTGGATGGTCTTGAATAACCAAGACTCACCCTAATGCCTCCGATGCGATTCTCCCCATGGAAGGCCTGCCCGTCCTTGAGCCAGCGGATGGTGGGCGTGGGGTTGCCTGCAGCTGGACAGCGGAACTTGACGGTGTTCCCAGCAGGCACTGCATGCAGTTTCTTCTCCATGCGCTGCGGGTGAGTCCAGTAGGGTGCTGGAGGGAAGAAGAGGGAGGTCTTAGTGTCACTAAGACAATCATCAGCTTCCTCCTACCCAGGTTTCTTCTTGGTGACTAGATGGGGAGTATAAACATGAGTCTTGAGGACTCATACTGACCTTGCTGGGGATAAAGGTGCCCATTCGAGGAGCCTCCGAGGGCCTTGGGGTCCCCATCATCATTGCTGGAGGTCAAGGAGTCTACTTCAGAGACAGAGGGAGGCATCTGAGACCCATGACAAGAAAGTCTCTTTCCCAAGCACCCCTTAACTCCCTGCCAGACCGTCTTACCATCTGAAACCAAGGTCAGATTGTGCAAGACAGTCATGGAGCCACGTGCCAGGCAGAGGTAGTGGCCAGCGTCCTCGGGCAAGAAGCTGGCAATCTCCAGACGGCCCCTCCAGCCTCGTACCCGGCCAGCAGGTGCCAGACGACTACCCTCCCTGTACCAGTGGCCACCACGCTCAGCCCGCCCACAACACAGCCGCACAGGCTGCCCAAGGGCCACAGTAAGCTCTTGTTCTTGCTGCTCCAGGCTGGGGGCCAGGCAGGGTTCTGAGGGCAGAGGGACAAAGTTAGTGAGCCCACAGTCCCACCTGAGGCAGCCCCCTGCATCCGGAGAACATGCTGCACCTTTCGACATGTGCAAGACAAGCTACTTCTCCCATGTGTACACACACACAACCACATGCTATACACATGGTCAATGCCACACTTCTAGGGCATTTCACACACACGCACACATATATTAGACATGCCACTGCCAAAGACACATACACACTGGGTACATGCTATAGGTGCCACAAACAGGGCACGCACCACACTCCTGGGGCAGTGCACACTCACAGTGCATGTACCACTCATGCTACCTGGGCCTCCCCATCACACACCAGTGCACAGAACACACACATACACACAGTCAAGGGGCTCACCACTGGCTCTGCAGCCCAGCCTGGGGCCCTGTGCCCTGCAAATGCCAATCCTCTCTTGTAGACACAGAGATAAGTGCTTTTTGGGTGCAAGTGAATCTCAATGCTTGAGCCCTGCCCTGTTGCCACCTTCTTGGCCAGGGTCAGAGTTCTCTCTGCAGCATTGATCAGCCAAGAGGCTCTTCCTGGTACACTTGCCACCCACCCCTGCCATCCTCTCCCACCTTAGAGGCCATACCCAGTTCTATTTCCTCAGAGGCCTCAAGGGACAAGGCTGGTGCCCCAGGTGTACCCAGGAGGACTCCCAATAGGGTCAATAGCAGCCACATCTCCTCTGTGCTCCTCTTAAAGATCCAGGCTGGACTTCCCACCGACCACCTTCCTAAAACAGAGAGGGTAAAGAGCTCTGCTGTAGGTGGCTCTTTGCTGGCATTGTTTCTTTCTTTTGCAGATGAGGAAACCGTGACAGGAAATGGTCCCCAGGCTCATCCAATCCCTCATCCAGGCAGTGGCGGGGCAGAGACTGGAAAAAGCAGTGCTGTTACCAGACCCCAGGGCTTCCCCATAGGAGGTTCTGGAAGGGTGCTGGGCTTCACTTCCTGCTTGCCCTGGGTCCTGCTGAGACCCTGGCACTAGTTCACAGAAAGAGCAGTTGGGAGATTTTTTTCCTTGGAGGAAAGCAGAGATGGAGACAAATCTTTTGCTGGCTCTCAGCACACATCATTTATTTTTTGCTGAATAAATGAATTTATTGCTGAAAAGCCAAAGGAAAAAAGTGAAATATAATGCAAGGTCAAACTTCAGCATCTGGATGCTGTCTCATCCGACTCCCACTCTGTACAGCAGAAGTGACATTTCCATGTTCAGCTTTGGATGCCTTGGGTGGCTGGGTGCTCATGACTAACGGGGCAGCACATTCCAGGTCTATCAGGACATCTGTCCTCGCTTTCAATTAGAAATGCCTCCTGGGATACTTGTGCTTTTTTGTGCTCCCACATCTCCATCTTAGACAGCATACAGGCTTCTTCTGTTTGTTTTACTTTTTGCTGTGCTAGGGATGGAATCCAAGGTCTCAGGCATGCTAGGCCAGGACTCTGCCATTGAGTTACATCTCTAGCTGGTTTTGTAAGCAATGTAGACAGTACCAGTTCACAGTTTTAAAGTAAGACCCTGTCTCTGTTCCTTTCTGGGCCTTCATCCTCCCAGGGCTGCTCTATTGGAGATAATGTACTAGAGACACAGAATGCTGGTGACATGTTCTCTCTGTCCCCATCCCTATGACTGCTCACCTGTCACTCTAGGCCTGCCTTTGGCCAGTCATCTCTGGTTCTGGAACTATTCCTGTCAGGCATGTTGTACACACTCACCCCATCTGGTTACCCTCTTCCAAATGCTATGAAGGTGTCCCTGTCTCCCAAAAGGAACACCCAGAACTGAGCTCAGATTGAGCAGTGGAATAAGGCGACCAGTATAGTCTCAAGGTCAGCTACTGGCTGTTACCTGGGGCTGGGTTAATAGCCAAACAGCACTGGTGTCTCTGAATCAGCGCCTGACTTTTTTTGGTGGGGGGAGGGGCAAGTGTTAGAACCTAAGGCCTCAGGTACTCTACCACTGAGCTATATCCCCAACCCAAGCAAGAGTCTCTCTTTTCTTTTTTTAATTTTTGGTACTGGGATTTGAACTCAGAGCCTACACCTTGAGTCACTCCACCAGTCCTTTTTTGTGATGGGTTTTTTTTTTTAGATAGGGTCTTGAGAACTATATTCCCCGGGCTGGCTTTGAACCTCGATCCTACTGCTCTCTGTCTCCTGAGTAGCTAGGATGACAGGGCTGAGCTACCAGCATCTGGCCTAGAGCAAGATTGTTAAAAGATGTGTTCCTTGCTTTAGGAAACTGGAACCCCTGCCCAAGAAGCCCATCACAGCCCCTGCCCTCAGGCACGGCCACCCCACTTTCATTCCACTTCCTCAAGCCCTGCCAGCCTCTCTCCTCCCCACTCCTACCCAGGGTAGGTTATGGTCATCTCTTGCCTGGAGACTTTGCAAGTCTTTTCCTGGGCTCTTCTGCTTTCATCATCTACCAGGACTTTTTTTTTTTTTTTAAAAACCAAAAAGACAAAAAACCCTGCAACTCTGCCATGCCATTCCCCAGGTTACAAGCCAGGTCCAGCTCCTTTGTCTGGCAGGGTCCAGTATCCAAGTGCTCCTTCGCTGCCCATGCAATCTCTTAAGTACCACTACCTGTCCCTTTAGCCACCTCAGGAGCTTTCAAAACTAGACACGTTTGTTTTCTCTCTCTCTCTTCTTTGGTGGGACTGGGGTTTGCACTCAGGGCTTCTCACTTGCAAAGCAGGAGCTCTACTGCTTAAGCCATACCTCCAGATACCAAGAGTCCATTTTGCTCTGATTGTTTTGGAGATGGAGGTCTCACAAATTATTTGCCAAAGCTGGCCTCAAAAATTTACAGGCTTGAGCACGTTTGCTCTCTTGTTTGTACCTCTGTGGTCCTCTTTCCTCTTCTCCACATAGTCCCTGAGCCCAGCCCCTGTCCCTACTCTTTAAAAGCCCTCTACCCACTCTGCCATGCTGGGAGGACAGCTGTCCAGGTCCACAGCTCCAGCTAGGAGTGGGATGGGGAGGCTGAGAAGGGGGCGGTATTCCCACTCCCAGGCTGTTTTGACTTCACAACCTCAGAGTTCTTGGTCAGGTCACTGCGGCTGGCTGCTGACCGATGTCCGGGTACATGTGGTCAGAGGGCCTAACTCTGGCACCAGATAGTCCTGGGTTCTCCTCCAGCCTCCCGCACTCATTGCGCTGGGGACCCTGGGCAAATGACTGCGCCTCTCGGAGCGTCGGTTTTCTCATCTCTACTCCCGGCTCGCAGACCTGTCAGCGGCCCAAAGACCAGTACGCTTTTACCTCCCCCTCCCGCACCTCCCACCTCTGCAACCCAACCTAGTCACCCTCGGGTGGGGGGCGGGAGGGCGGTGCCAATCAGCGGGTCCCCCAAGCAGAGCTACAGAGACAGCTGGCCCGCCCCTGCCCGGGTGGGCAATAAGTAACCAGCCCCGAGGCCAGGGTGCTCTTTGGACGCAGCGGGACAAAAGGCCCTGTGTGCGCTGCGGGTTACTGATTTACCGCCCCCTCCACCCACCCACTCCCGCCGAGCGGACGCCCAAGGTCCCCTGTGCCGGGAGCGGGCACTCCCGGAGCCCGGTCACTGCTAGCCCCCTGGCGGCTGGGGCGCAGCCTGGGGTCCAGGTTCACCTGGACCCTCCCGGCACAGGGTCCTGGCTTACCTGGCTGCGCCGCCGTCCCCGATCCCTGCGCCCTGCGGAGTCCGCACACTTAGCCCCGGAGCTCCTCCGCCCCCGGCGGGAGAGCCAGGAATGTACGATGGTGGCAGCGTGGCCGCGAGCCCACCTCCCGCCCCGCCCCCCCAGTCCCGCCCCGCCCCGCCTGGACCAGCTCGGTACGGAGAGGCGTGGTCCCGGACCGTCCAGATCTCCGCCCACCCGGAGCCACTCACCGGAGTCCAGCAGTGCCGGGGCTAGGGACCCAGCCCTGTCTACCGCGCAATCCTCACATCCTGCGTCCTTTTCTTCAAACCCCCCGGCCAGCCTTCCAGGTTCTAGTCCTCTACCTGATTGTCACTATTCTGGGAACAAGACCTTGGCCCAGTGACCCCTTTTGTCTTTTTGTATAGAGGATAGAACTCCGCATTTGTCCTCCGAGCAACCATCAGAGTGATATTTAAATTACAAATTGGACCGGGAGCCGGTGGTTCACGTCTATAATCCTAGCTGCTCAGGAGGCAGAGATCAAGAGGTTTGCAGATCCAAGCCAGCTCTGGGGAAATTGGTTCGAAAAACCCTATTTCAAAAAATACCCAACCAAAAAAGGGCTGGTGGAGTGGCTCAAGTGGTAAGTGCTGCCTATCAAGAGTGAGGCCCTGAATTCAAACTCCAGTACTGCCCCACCCCCCGCAAAAAAATACCAATTGAACTGTCTCAAATACCTCCTTGAGTTTATAGTTTCTCCTAGCCATTTATATGGATAGATTTTTGGCATGACGTCATAATCATCTACTAGTGAAATCTTGACCTTTTGCTTGCTTTCATCCTATGCCTGGGCCTTTGCAGTGACCTCCCACTTCCTGGAAAACCCTTTCTCCCCTTTCAGTCCATTCACTTCTATTTCGTTCTGAGGTCTCAGCTCAGTTACCCCAGGGCAGCCCCAGGAACTTGCCAGGTTTCCCTTGGTCACATCTCTAGTTAGGACGGAGGAAGATTGCAGGGCTGGCTGCATAGCTCACCTCTCAGCACCATCACACATCACCCTGATAGAGCAGATCACCTCATCTCTTCCTTCTCCCTAGTAGAATGGGTAAATGATAGTCCTCAAAAAGTAGGACTGTGATTAAGACAGTTAGTTTGTCACTGCACTTGGCAGAGTTTTGAACAGTTAATTATATAAACACTTGAGAAATATCAAGTTCCCAAAACTCAGGGCCAGCACCCATAGACCTCTCCCTTGCATCTCAAGTGCCCCCCTAAAGCGTTCCACTTCCACTTATTTTTTCTTTTCTGTGCTGGGGATAGTCCCAGAGCCTCCGGCTTGTTAGGCAATGGCTCTCCCACTGAGCCACACCCAGCCCGCCTTTCTTGTTGTTATGCAGAGGACTCTATTTCTTTTCACTCTTCCAAAACCCCAAAAGGATTGTAGTGATTCTTTCCATAACTAAAAGGCCCATTAAAGCTTTTTTTGAAGACAGGGTCTCTGTAGTCCAGGCTGACCTTGAACTCACAGCCACTATGCCCTGCCCCAAAGCACCTTTTTTTTTTTTTTCCATTTCCATCCCAAACAAAAGAATGGTCTCCTCCCAAAGATAAATCAGAAAATCACAAGTTATCTTTTCAAAGCAGGCTATCTGGATCCCCTCCTCCAGGGTCCCATCTTGCTGGAGCTCCCAGGAAGAATGAGGCTCTTGGCCCCAGGCGCCCCTTTCTGGAGGGACCACCCCAGAGCTCCTGGACTGCTGAAGAGAGAGGCCCAGCAACCCAGTTCTCAACCTCCACTAGCTTCCCTTACTGAAGGTGATTGTTGGGGGGCACAGTGAGCTGCCTGCAGGAGCTGGACCCTGTGATTGACTTTCATTCAAATTCTAGAGTATCTCCTGGGTTTCCCTGAGCCAAAAACAGAATAGAGATTTTTATAGCCAGTTCATGCAACTGTCCCTTCAGACTGCCCCAAGTCTCTAGGATGTGTTCCCCTGCCCCCTTCCAGACTTCCAAACTCACATCAACCCATGGTCGAGGTTGACACCCTC